AATAAAGGGTATGACAACAAACATTTGGATGTGAATTTGCTGAGTGGGAGGGAGGTCAAGTTTGAGAAGAAGGTGCCAAAAATAAGCCTGCTTTTCAAAACCTTATTTAGAAATAGACAAGTTCATTACCTCATGTGGGAAAGGAGGAAAATGTTACAAATGGCCAAGTGTCCCCATGCTGAGTCAGAGAGAGGAGAAGCCAACCATTCATGGTCTAGACAAGCCCGGTTAGAGCCAAGGTCATGAGACATGGGGCATGGGGCATGTGGCGCAAAGCACTGCTTGGGGTCACACGACAGGGCCTGGTGAGCAGACTCATCTTGACAAGACTGTCAAACCCCAGTTCTTCACACCCTCCCTGAGAAGGACATGTGAGAGACCACATTCCTGGGCTGTCTCTGCGTCGCTCTGATAGGACCAGAGTCAAGACTTCGCAGCGAGAAACTGCATTCGGGTGACTGTGTTAAAATCATGCTAATGATCCAAATCTCAGCCTCCCAAGGACACATATTCACCGTAAGAGGGGAGAATGGGGAAGTCCAAAGGGCCAGCGGCCGCTCTACCCAGTCACTGCCCAGCCGCTCTACCCAGTCACTGCCCGGGCCCAGGAAAAAGGGACGGAACGGGGGATTCGATCCCTCTCTGCGTGCTCAGGCAGTGTGTGCTCCTGCACGGCGGCTCCTCGAGAAGCACTGGCCACTCCTGGCAGCTCCTCAGCTCTTCTGCATCTCCTGCCCCACTCCCCGGGAGAAGCTTCTGGAGTGCTCAGCTAACCACCCCACTTGGAAAGCAAAAACCTCCCCTAGCGCCTGAACTGACAGCCAACAAGAACCCAAAACATGAGGACATAGACTACGTAACTGCTGTCCAGAGGGGAAAAGCCACAGAATCATCTGATGCTTCTGGTTTCCAAGGAAAAGCACAGAGCCAGTAGAACAGGCCATCCTTCAGAATATTTCTAGCCACGGCGCTCAGCGTTTCCCGAGAACGTTTCTAGTGCCTGCCTTTATATGATTACACTGGTGTTACAAAAATCCTCCCTGCAACCTACAGAGCATAAAGATGTTTCGGAGCAGACACGCCTCCCACAGCACTCCCATCACAAAGCCGTAACCCACACACACGGGTCAGAGTGCGGTGGCCCACAGGTGATTATTCTGCTGCAGAATGAATTAAAAAACTATGAAATCAGCAATCTCGGTTGGCATCCATTTTGAAACAAAACATGTTTTCATGTGCCGACACCCAAGGCAACTTGACATTTTAGAGATCAGACATCATGCCTGTTTTCTGTGCCTATTAAGGGGACGTGCAATGTAAAGTCGGGGGTTTGGGGAGACAATGCCTCCTCTAATTCACAGCAGTAAACACCTGTTTTCTGTACTCCGCATGAGGAAGAAAGGCATCCACAGGCAGAGATCCACAATTAAATCTTTTATACCCAGGATTCCTCTAACAGTAAACACGGAGAAGCAGAAGAAAGGAGCGGTGAATAAGAACTCTGTGCTTATGAGTTATTCCAAAAGTAGAGACTTGACTTTCCAAAGAAGCGAATATTAGTAAATTAACTAGAATGAGTGCATTAGATTAACTAGGAAAAAAAAAAAAAAACCAACACAGGCAGAAGTTTAAGGCCATAGTATGTGATGTGAGTGTCGATATAGGTTTAATGAGCTCTCAAGGAGACTGCTACTGTGCTAGCCTGTAGCCATGGGTAAAACAAAGTCATGTACCCGGTAAAGTTTTAAGAGTCAAAGAAAACTGATAAAGGGCACATACAGAAAGCTGACTATGAAGTATTGCTTGGGTACTACCAATTTAGAAATTACAGTGGACTAGGTATTTGAAGGGCCCATCTGCTATGCTGGAATTAGGTTCTGAATAAATTAATTTTAGGAATACTTTCTAGTACATTGGCTAGCTCCAGCTAGAGAAACAAACACCAGGAAGACATGGCAGGGACAGCACACTGAAACCTGACCAAAGAAGAGAGCAGCAGTTGCCGTGGAGGCCAGGTGAATACCAGCAACGGGATGGGGCATCCAGACCCTCCGCTTTCTGCAGGGACAGAAAACCCAACCAGAGACCAGGATTCCCAAAGGAAATGAACATGGTCCTGGCTCTGTAGCACCCTCCTGGCTCCGAGGACAAACACACATAAATTTCAACAAGACCTCAGGATTCTGCTATATAATTATCAAACAAATATGAGCACATAATCAAAGCTCACCATGGATACTAGGAAACAAGCCACAAACACAGATTTATTGGCATTATCCGATGCAGAATATGGAACAACTCTGTTTGGTGTTGCTTACAGATATGAAAGATGGAGGTGGAAAAAAAATGAGCAAGCAAAAAAGAGACCACTAAATATATTCAGCAGATTGGAAGCAGAAATTGAGCTTTTCAAGATGAAGAAATAGGGGGCCTGGGTGGCTCAGGTGGTTAAGCATCTGCCTTCGGCTCAGGTCATGATCCCAGCCGTCCTGGGATCGAGCCCCACATCAGGCTCCCTGCTCAGTGGGTAGCATGCTTCTCCCTCTCACTCTGCTCATGCTCTCTAATAAATTACTTTTTAAAAGTATTAAGAAATATAATCATTGGAATTAAAAACTCAAAGGATGGGTTAAATAAAAAATTCAACACCACTGAAGAGAAAAGTACTGAACTGGAAGCTAAATCTTATGAAATTACCTAGAATCAAACAGAGAGAAAGGACAGGGAAGAAAATACCAATTACAAAGTAAAAGACACAGAGAAGAAAAAGAGAAGCTCTAACATCTACTTATCAAAACCAGAAGGAGCAAATAGAGAGAGGGGCGAGAGACAGCATTCAGAGCATTAATAGCTGGGAAATTTTCAGAGCCAATGAAAGGTATGAATCTATAGATACACAACACACAACAAATACAAACAGTATAAAAACCAGAAAGCCACACACAGACACAGGGCAGGGAGACTGCGGGGCCCCGATGACAAGTAAGTGATCTCAAAATAAGGCAAGCCATTTACCAAAGAGTGACGATGAAAGACCTACTGTGGTTTCCCAAGAGCAACAACAAAAGCCGTAGGACGATGAGCAGTATGTTCACGATGCTGCCAGACAGTGGCTGTCAGCTAAGAACTGGGACAGCAACATGAACACATGTTCACATAAACCAAAGTCGAGAGAAGCTATGACCTAGCGATTCTGAGGGAAGACAATTCTGAAGGAGGCACCTCTCACCAGGGGAAAGGTACAGGATGAAAGAAGGGAAGAGACGCAAGACATGGTGGACATATGAAATTAAACATAGTGTCTCTAACGGGTAACCATAGTCTGACGTGTCGGGCAAAACACAGAACTGAAACACAGAAAGGAAGGCATGAGAACAGAAGGAGACACTGTTCACTAGGTGTCCTACGAGTTTCCTACTATTCTGAGAGGGGATGGCAACACCTTAACTACGGATTGACTTCAAAACCGTGAAGCATGCACAGTGTACTTTCAGGGTAATCACAGAAGGACAGAAATGGAATGCATTCCAAACCCGCAGAGAAAAGAACACTGAATGAGAACACAAATCAACAAAAACTTCAATCAATCAAAAAAAAAAAGATTAGCAATGAAAATGAACCAAACACATATAGTTAAGAGAGTATTAGACAGTATTTCAAAAAAAAAAAAAAACCAGAAACGAAGAAAAGCGCCAGTAGTCATACAATAAAAGACTGAAAATTTTGTCTTACATTAAAATCACAAACTCTGTTCTCCAAAGTATACTAAAAAGAAAAATGCTCAACCTCACTATTAATCAGGAAAATGCAAATTAAGACCAAGTGATATACTATCTTATACCCACTACACTGGCAACAAAATACCCAATTTTGGAAGGAAGTGGAGCAACAGATAAAAATGTGATAGATTTTTTTAGAAGATTTTATTTATTTATTTTTGTGAGAGAGAGAACACAAGCCGGGGGCAGGGGGGCGGTGCAGAGGGAGAAGCAGGCTCCCCACTGATCAGGGAGCCCGACATGGGGCTTGATCCCAGGACCCCGGCCTCATGACCTGAGCCGAAGGCAGACACTTCACCAACTGAGCCCCCCTGGTTCACATGCAACAAGTGAATGGGAACAACACAACTGAGTAAATGTAACCTGCAGAATGCTATGTGCAATATACCCTTCTTACCCAGCCTGAAAACAAACAACACAAAGCACTCTCCTGTTTGCATATGTACACAGAGATGGGAATTGTGTTTCAGGATGCAAAGCAACCAGCACCAGGAAGAGCGCAGTCCCATGCAGGGGATTTTCACTCTCGGTCAAGGCTGTTTCTCAACACAAGCAATGGTGTGCTGGTCTGGTTCTGGAGCAAACCCTTCACGTCATCCAGGCCAGCAGGCCCAATGACACAGCCCCAGGCTGTCCAAGTGCAGAGCAGAGCACACGCTGGGTAGCCACAATCTTCCCAGACAGAGAGCCTCCATCACAACCAATTCCAGAATACAGGAAATGTCCTGGCCCCAAATGGCACCCTAGGCCCCCTGCCCCTGGAACCTCCCCTCATGATTTCTTCTACAAACAATTAAATTACGATGTATAGTTTTGGTTAAAGGTGAAAAATGGTGTAGACTCAGGAGAGATTTTCCTGAATCCTGAATCCATATGGCCCTTTTTCCTTTTAAATGTCCTCATTGATTATGTGACTTGAGAGCTCACAACGCCCTTTCTGTCCTCTTCAGCGACCCTGGCAGAGGCTACTGTGCGGGTCCTTCGTTTCCCACACGTCTACACCCTGGCCTGTGCTGCCTTCCCAGTCCAATCCTGTCTCCTTCCTTCCCAACCAGACTTGGCCTTCCCTGGGCTGATGTAGAGCTGGGGCCCCTCGAAGGCCTGGAGGCCCCCCATGCAGCAGAGCCTCATGTGCAATCACAGAACAGAGCAAGAGTGACTCTGGGGAACTTCGGATCCATGACGCGTCCGCAAACGGATAAAAGGCGGAGTCTGACTTACGTGCTGTCTTTCATACGCTCTCTGCTATGCTCCTATTTCACTGCTCTCAAAATTCAGAAGATCTATAGCTCTTTGGTCACTGGAGCTTTGCCTGGAATGATAAGAGCAGGAAATGAGAAAGGAGGCAACTAGAAGGAACCGAAGCGCCCACTGGGGAAGGAAACTCTCTTGTGCCATCGTGCCTGACATTTAAAAGGGAAAAGGGCCACCGGAAGCAAAGAAAATCTCCAGCAACCTCCGGTCAAAGCCATTTTTCGTCGTTAACCAAAACTATTAATAGTAATTTTTTTTTAAAGATTTTATTTATTCATTTGACAGAGAGAGACCCAGTGAGAAAGGGAACACAGCAGGAGGAGTGGGAGAGGGAGAAGCAGGCTTCCCGCGGAGCAGGGAGCCGGATCCGGGGCTCGATCCCAGGAGCCTGGGACCATGCCCTGAGCCGAAGGCAGACGCTTAACGGCTGAGCCACCCAGGCGCCCCTATTAATAGTAATTTAATGTTTTTAGAAAAAAATCGTCGTTATTTACAAAGACCTTTCACACACACTTTTTTTAAATTTGAGCCACGGATTTTGAGAACAGGCAAGTATCAATTTAAATGCAGGAGCTGACGTTCCCAAAGGTTAGGGAACTTTCCCACAACCGCTCATCCAGTGAGTACCATAGAGGAACGAGAACCACCTTGACCATTCCAACCCTCTTCCATGACCCCAAATCCTAACAGGATGGTTTCAACCTGAAAAGCAGTATTATTATTTCTCCTTGCACTGCATATACTTTCTCAGCCAACAGACACAGAAATGGCTTTGCCCATTGAGTGGCAGAGTGACGGTCATAGGATTAAATGTTTATTTACCACAGACAACGCAGAAGGTAGAACATGCACACCAGGATAGTTAAGAAATGCACGTATCTTGTCCACACACCCTCCTTTTCTCTTTAAGTCAGTTATAACTGCTGGGCTGCTTCTTTTCTTTTTAACTTTTTATTTGGAAATAAGTTCGAGCTTACAGAAAAGTCACGCAACGGTAACAGTACAAAGAACGCCAAGCACACCTCACTCAGTTGCCCCTACCACCACCCAGCAGCCACGGACCTGACCACTCACTGGCTGCAGACTCTCTACACATACACACAGCGTCGATTCTGAGCCGGTGGAGGTACGTGCCAGACCTCGTGGCGCTTCACCTCTAAACACTTCAGAATGGGGATATCCCCAGATGGCAGTAAACCCAGTACTTTACCGCCATCTTCAATTAACCCCACGATGCACTTCATGGAGCCTCTTTCCCCCAATTCAGGATCCAGTCCAGGGGCAGGCATATAGCACTTAACTGCATTATTCCGAAACACACAGCTTGCTTTGGTCTTCCGTGGCCTTTGCAATTCAGAATAGCGTCCCCTATCTCTTTTGTATTAATAAAGCATTTCTGTTTTGCCTTGTCTGATGTTTCCTCATGATTCAATTCAGCCAGAAACCACCGAGGTGATGTGTTCTTCTCCAGCGGTCTCATCTGAAGGTGCGGGAGGCACACCTGCCCCTCCTTGGTTGCCCAGGCCAAGTGCTATCCAATTCCTCTGGTAAAAAATTATTTTTTTCTCTTGAAGCTAATAAGTCATCAGGGAGGAGATACTGCAAGACCACGAAAAGACCTTGTCCCTCATCAAAATGTCCCCTAGGTTTCACATCCATCACCGACCTGTGCGGGCCACTGCCCCTCCGACACCCTCCACATTACCCTTCATTACTCGGCACCGTATTGTTTGCTCACCTCTTTGTCCATTTGTGGCCACACTGGAAGTTCTAGTTTTTCAATAATTGATCATGTTTATCCTGCCGCGTATGATTTATCTCTGTACTACACCGTCTTGGTGCTCAGCCTACCTCAGATCTAGCCAGCGGGCACCCCCTTGAACCTAGCTCCTTTATCTGTGCAGCGCGCCCCCCCACCGTTGTCTTATTTTCCTAACTTTTCTTTCCTTCCTTTCTGGCATTAAAAGAGCTGGGTTCCCGTTGTGCTTGCCCTGTCTCTGCCCTGCACGCAGTCACTCCTCCAGAGTCCTGGCTCCTGGTGGGGAGGAGGGCGTAGGCACTGGCTGCTTCCCCTGTCGGCGGTTCGGCTCACGGACGAGCCACATCTCCTGCTTCTTCGCCATCGTAAGGTGGGCAGTTAGAGGGGGTTCCATTTGATCCAGAGGGCAGCTAAGTCATCAGCAGACCGGCTCAGTCCTGGGAGGCTTGGTGGAGACGGGGATGTTTGAGCCGTGCCCTCCCAGGCTCTACCCCCACGGGAGGGCCAGCCCAGCACCCGCAGCTCGCCTTTCCCTCTCCATGGTTTCAACATTCAAGGATGCTTCAGGAACACGGGCTGCTCTAATGGAAGAGGGAAGAATCAAGACACTGAGCATACAGTGAAGGCTCTTTATTTAAACATTTCAAAGAAACCCCCCTGCTAAGGACATTTCTTAGAAGTGCATGTGTTTACTTGCACTGCAACACGGTGGCGGGAGAGATGCTCTCTAGCCGTCCAGCAGACTCTGAACAAAATGCCAGGGAAATGGCTCTATTCCTTCCAGGAGGCTGACCGTCACTTCAGATGCCAGTTGGCTGTCACTCGGCCATGAATCGACACTTACTTCCACAACCCTTCCTCCAGGGGCATACCAAACCACTACAGGCCACCAAAGAAAGAAAACGTAGTTGCTACTCTTCGTTCTTCTTGTTTACGTGCATGTACTCAGGGGTGGGGAGAAGAGTCCTCTCACGAGAAATCACCTCCTGGTGCACTTACATTCCTCCTCCTAACCACTGATGAGAAAATCATAAGGAGCAAAACAGTCAAAAAAGGGGCGCCTGCGTGGCTCAGTCGGTTAAGCATATGCCTTCGGCTCAGGTCATGATCTCAGGGTCCTGGGATCGAGTCCCGCATCAGGCTCCCAGATCAGCAGGGAGTCTGCTTCTCCCTCTCCCTCTGCCCAATCCCTGCTTGTATGCACTCTCTCTCTCAAATAAATAAATAAAATCTTCAAAACAAAATAGTCAAAAGAAAAAGAAAAGAAAAAAAGAAACAACTCTGCAACCCCGGACACAAAGTTAATCAAAAAGGTAATTGTCAAACAAGAGCAGTATTTTTATCACATACAGGAGAAGAGAGGAAAATGGAGAACAGGCCTTGCCCTGCCCAAACCAGGAGCTCTGTGCCCACAGCACACACATGCGCACAACACCCTCCTCCTACTTCTCGAGCAGACTTTCTCCTTACTAGAAATCCACACCGCAGCCCACCTAATCCAATTTCGCAAAAGGAACACGCCCGCCAAAGCTTGGCGGGTCCCACCCGGCTGCCTCGGGCTCTGCCTCGGGCCGCCGAGAACTTGCAGGCAAGCCCTGTTACACATGCCAACACACCGTGTACCTGTCCCCTCGCACTCGCGCTCTCCAGATGGACCTGTCCCATCAGGACTCTCAGACCTTAATTCTGCCTCCCCGAGTCAGCAGGTGCCCAGCACCCTGATCAACCTGACCGTCTGCCCCCCACTTCCCGGAAGCCTCCACGATCTGCCCCCCGCCCAGCTTTGCACACATGTCCCAATGCTGTCCACCCGTCACAGCGAACACCCTGCAGCCATCGCCCTTCACGGGACACCCTGCCCTCCCTTTCTTCTCTTGACTAACTCACGGAGGCTTGACAACCTTGGGGAATTTTTCGTGATCCCCATTCAAAGCTGAGTGAGTGCCCCAAACTTCCTACTCTCAGAGCGCCTGTGCTCACCTTTAAATAAACAGCCAACAACTTGCTGAGCGCTGATGACGTGCTAAGCTACAGGCACCTACCACGTGTCACGTCACTGAGGGCCCACACTAGGTCCGGAAGCGGGGCGGGGGGGGGGGGGACGGTGCTCTTCCTAGGGATAAACAAATGGTGTGCCGGTTCAAAGATTAAAAGTACCTCTCAGGAGGTAGAATCTGGAATTCTGTAGAAGGAAGTCAAGCCCCTTCTCAAGAAGTTCTTACACTGTTTAACCAACAGGCTCCTCCACTAAGGGACACATCCGTTCCGACACACGTGGCGCAAGCGAGGATCAGTGAAGAGGCAAACACCCATCCACTGGACTCCACCGGGGCCCCCACGTCGCTGAGCCAATGCCCAGCTAGGCGCAGACTGTGGACCTGAGCTGAGGGAGGAGCAGGGGCAGGAAAGCCGAGGACAGTCTCGTGAAGAGTGTGTCACAGAGGAGGAGTATTTCAGGACAACTCGGTCACTTGCCCAGGTCCCCTTCTTCACGCTGCAGACCCTGACTATGCCATCATAAATACCGGCCAGGCTCAAAGTGATCTAAGGGCTCTACCCTCCCTGGGGAAAGTGTTTTTAAAAAAAGGGAAAGGATCAAAAGGAGAAGTTGTAGAGCGCCCTGAAACCTAACTCAAAGTGTGAAAGTCACAGGGCACGTTTAACCTAGGGAAGAGGAAGCAAGGGAGGGGCCACGGTGGGACATCACATTAAGCACCACCCGGCCAAGAGCAACGGACAGCATTTTTCCAATCCTGCCAAAGACAGAGCAGAGCAAACAGTTTTAACCTATAGTATGAGAATTTGGCTTCAATATGAAGATTTTCCCCAAAGCAAGAATTTTTAACTAAGGAATATGGAGTCTGTGCCCCATGACATGACCACTCTTCAATTACCAGCATGCAGAGCTCCCATATAGGTGCTCAAACAGCGTTGGGATCCATGATTCCGCCTCACGGAAGCTGCGATCGTACAGACAACACAGTGTTCATGGAGTGCTCTACTGTAAGCTAGAAGTCACCCGGGGGACCTGGGGGGGGGGCAGGCCCAGCTCGGCTACAGGATTCACACCCTGCTTCCCCTGGTTCAAAGTCCAATATCTTCACTACAGGCATTAGATTAAAACGCACGCAAACTTAACTATCTGTAAAATGGGACAATACCTGCCTCGTGAGGCTCCTGGAAGGATTCCGTAAGTTAATCCTCCAACATCTAGCCTGTGCTTATCACAAAGCAAGCACTCTGCTTCTATTGAAGCCGAGATAGCCTATTTCAATGAGTCCAATTTAACCTCAAGATGA